CCCCAAAACCCCAAAACCCCAAAACCCCAAAACCCCTTTCTAGTAAATCTACATTGAAAAATAAATATGAAAAGGGTCAAAATAGATGAAGAAAAGGAGGAAGAAATAGCTATGAAACACCTCTCCTCCAAAGAGCGTTCCAAGCTCTATCGAACCCGTAAGAAAGCCTTCATTAGTAAGCTCTTTTTTACCATTTAGAAAAGCTTGAGAGGGAAAATTCTGAGCTGAAGGAGCAAGTTCGTAAACTTTCAAAGGAGAATCAGGATCTTCAGGATCAACTTCTCAATAATTGTCATGCAACCGATGAAGAGTCTAGCAAAAGAAGTGCATTTATAGAAATTCACCCTCCTGAGATCAACAAGTATCTTCGTCTTAAACGAGAGGAAGAATACAGGTTTAAAACTTTAGCCCAGAAACTCAAGAAATTTCCTAATGATGTTAGTTACTCGATGATGGAGCAGACCAGAGATGATGTAGGACCGTTCGGAAGAATCCGTGTGGAGTATCTCAAAGAACAATTTAACAACATTATTGAAAACTGCCTTCCGTTTGGCATAAAATCAATGATGTATACTTTTCACAAAATACCTATCTATCAATGGCTCAAATTTCAAGCTGGCTCCAAGAAGAAATATGCTGAGTATAACATCGGAGAAGATTATGAGCTTGTAAGTGCTAGCCTTTGATGGCCACATTTCACTGCATTATTCTGTCAAGATTTACTCATGTAAACTCTCAGTCAGAAAGTCTGTGTTAATTTTTGGCATTAATATAGATTAAGAAATGAAGAATTTCCAAAAAAGGACTAGAGTTCTTCAGAGATAACAATAGAGAGATCAACACTACTTTGTTTAATCTGAAATAAATGGATTCGAAAACTAGTTTATGTACGAAACAAATTGTTTCATACCCTCAAAATCATGCAAGATTTCAAGAAAGATAAAGAAGGGATTAGGTCTTTGTACCCTGTTCCTAAGGATGACCAAGTAACTATCATGCTGAACAACCAATATCTCAAAGAGAAGGGATTGCTAAACCCCTTCGATCTGTACAAGATTGGAAGGAAGTCTAAAGATGCTGACTACACTTCGGATATAGAACTTACTGACTAAGTCGCTTAATGGAAGGCTAGCTCTCTTAAAAACTTATGTGTATCTTCAATTATTTTTTAGAATTTCGGGGTTTTGGGGTTTTGGGGTTTTGGGGTTTTTGGG